GACGCGCGAAGAACTGAATAGTCACATTCAATACCCAACAGAACGACTGAACGCATTAGCTGAAAATCGAGCACTGCCCACTCCGTCTGACATAAATCGACATGTTGCCGACTTGTATTCTGGCATTTCCACGGGTATGAGATCTTTCTGGGTCTAATGACGAAAGGGCAGAAGCAAGAACGAATTTGTTCGCAATGCAGCTGACGTTTGGAGAACCGTCGCTGTTCTTTACCGTATCACCGGATAGCTCGCTCACGTTCCGGGTCGCAAATTTATCTGGAGACATGGAGACAGAACTACTGGATGCGGCTCACAGCACTTTGAGCCGTCAAATGGAATTTTCCCGAGCTCGCCTAGGAATGATTGCCACTTAAAACCCTGTTGCCTGCGCAAGGTAAGCATTACAGTCACTAATGCACAACACAGCATTAATGATTATTATGTTGTGAACAGATACTTTCATCACATTATGGAAATTAATATCGCCGTTTTATTTGACTGGGACCAAGTCCTGCAACGTCCGAGAGGACGGGGAGGGATTTTTGGTACTACAGAAGCTTTTTTTGCTCCACGGAGTCTCAGAGTTCTACAGGATCACTTCACGCGCATATCATGGTTTGGATTCGTGGTATGCCCAAAACGCTGGAGGAATATAAACGTCTTCGGAGCAGTGACAACTTCCAACTGAAGCTACTGAGTTACGTGAACTCTATTCTTCAAGCAAGTTACCCAATTTCGACTGATTGCTGCCCTCACTGTCGTGAAAAGGCTATATGTCCCGTGCCTGTTAGCCAACAAGCATTCAAAGTGCCTTTCAAAGGGTCTACGCGTCCCACAACTTCCAAGTGTCAATCTTGCAATCCTACGTATGGATCTGACGAACTCGCACGAAAATGTATCTCGAAATTGACCGAGAACCAGACCGATCAAAATTCTGCAGCTGAATTTACCCGGCTGGCAATGCCACAACCGTTACCACGCACAGTAGATCGCGATTCATTGCCGGCCGTCAATTCTACTCAAGCTCTTCTCACATACCAAAACCATCATTGGTTTCACAGCAAGTCGTGTTTCAAAAAGTCCAAGCGAACTCCTGCTGGAAAGAGCTGTAGAATGTTTTTCCCAAAAACGACCTGTCCTAGTACAAATTGGACCGACGTAGGATCGCTGGAAATGAGAAGAACGACAGGAAGCGAGTACCTGAGCCCATACATTCCTGTAGTGAACGAAGTGATAAAATCAAATCACGACCTCAAGGTTCTAAGTGCTTGTGAAGGTACGCTCCCTCTCAAGAATTCCTCTATTTGACTAGTGCTTATCTGTAATGATACCTATAGGCCCACACGTCGCATTTTATATGATGAAGTATTCGACGAAGGCACCAAAAGGATGTTGAAAACCCTTTGGCGCTACATATTGGAGCCTTCGATAGATCTACAGCAAACTCCGACCCAAGTTTGGATAATATTCAAGCTGGTCGTCGTCGAATGCAGTCAATGTGCTGCTCATTATCCAACGTCCATGAAATTGCTGCTCCGATGGCTAGTTTATACCTGCTACGCGGTTCGGCATTTTACGCTTCCACTTTCTTTGGAAAAATCTTCCTGAATTCGTTCTCCACCGCTCTTTTTGGTTGTGAAAGAAGAGAAATTATACTGGCGGAAAGCGAAGATGGGATTGAGTATAAACCTTCCAGCTCATATCTTGATTACGTATATCGATCAGAAGAACTAGCTTTGACCTCGGTTATGGAATTTACGTCAGCTTGGAAGAAACAACGAAACAAGACTGGCCTCAAGCTTAAACAAGGACATCCTTAATTGAAAACACATTCTCTGCATCGTCGAGATCATTCAGTAACTCCTGTAATTATCGGACCTCGACTGCCGGATTTCCGAGATCCTGGTTTATCGGATGATATCGAGCACAGCTCAAAACAAAAATGCTCATTTTATTCAGACCCTTTCGAGATCGTGCAGACTTTGGAGCAAATTTCACCTCAACAAAC